TTAATAATCTCGTGAAGATGCGAATGAGTCCAAATAAATCATAAGAAATGTTATGAGAAAGAGAAATTTATTGTGACATTCACTAGCGAACCTTCAAAACACACTATACAAAGTAAGATGAAAATGCAGCCGACTTGAATTTTGAGTGTTAATCATATGAAGATGTGATGGGAGGAGTGATATTGGCCCGCCAAAAGCGACCGTTTGCTGGTGGCCCGTCTCCGTCTAATTGGACTTGAACGGTCAAACAGTGTGAATTATGTAACAGCCTGTCATTCAATCACAACCTCTTCCTCTCACATCACTCCAATACTCTTGCTTCCAAACATTCAATCACAACCTGTATCATTCCATCTATCATATATGCATTTTCTGTTAACAAATAAATTATGAGTTTTGTTTATTTTACTCTTTTAATTTTTTAAATTTACCGTATATTTATATACAATATCATGTCATATTTACATGTTATATGATATATTTACATGCTGTCAAGTTAATGGATTTGAGAGTGAAAATAAAAAAACTAAATAGAAATTAAGATTTTTTTTATTAAGAAAAATAATGTAAAGAGGGAAAAAAATAAGTAAAAAAATTAAAAAATTGATTGATTAAAATATTTTTTTAAATAAATTATAATTTAATATATTTTCATATATAATGATGTTAAAGACATAATTGTGTTTGGATGGAGCATGAACTTGGATTGAAAGATAGAGGTTTATTTCAATAGATTTGCAATGATCTGAAGTGAAAGTACATATGTTATTTATTTATTACAAAAGCGTGAAGAATTTATTGAGTTAATTTTTTATTTTTTATTAAAATAAGTATAAGAAAATGTGAGATTAGAAAGATATAATCAAATAATTTAAAAGACATAATTGATTATTAGGGAAAATATTATCATCATATCTATAATTTTTATTTTAATGAATTAGAATTTAATATATATATATATATATATTAGTTTTAAAATATAAAATTTATCTCTAAAATTATGTATTATTAGAGATAAATGAATATGAAATGGAATTTTAAGAGAAAAGAACCAAAAATTAAGGAAAACGTGTGTAATTAAAGGGAAAAATGATAATTTTATTATATTTATTTATTAACTTATATTTGAGTGAAAAAATTGAAAAAAAAATCATTATATTTTTTTTCTCTGATAACCACGATTACAATAAGAGAAATCTCCTTCGGTATAAATAAATACCGATATCTCAATTTTTTAAATCTTATTTTTAAGGATAATAGTAATAATAAATAAATAAATAAATAAATAAATAATAATAATAATAAAATAAAAATATTAAAATAACATATAAATTTTTTATAAAATAAAATTATTTTACCTTCAATTCATTTTTTTTATTCTAAATAATCTTATTTTTCATTCTCTCTTTTTTCTACTTTCTTAAATTTACTCTTAATTTAGATAAATATTTATATAAACATAATATATATATATATATATATATATATATATATATATATATATATATATAACTTAGATTATATTGCTCTTTTCAAGAGTGGCTAGATTATGTATATACGTTTTTTTTTTCTTTTAACTTTCATCCGTTCCTTTAGAGTAAATTATAAGGAATCTATTAATCTTATTTTATTTTTTTTCAATGTGAAACGTTTAAGAATATAATTTTGTAAGTTATGTTTAAAAGGATTGAAAAATAAATAAATAAAATTGAATTATCCGTCCTATATAGATTACTAACATATTAATATGTATTATATTATAATTTTAATACATATATGTTTATAAATTCAACATGTTTTTACATTGTCTAAGTTATTTTCGTAAATTTGGGATGCTGTCTTTATCAATTGAGATTATTTCTTTTATTTGTTTGTGATATGTATCCAGCCAGAATAGTGTTGATAGTCTTTATTAACATAAATAGACTGACTCTTTAACTTCATCTGCCTGCAAAAGTATTAATTAAGGAATTAAAGATGAATGAATCCAATAAGTTGATATGTTCTCGATGTAGCTGCTACATAGACGATCATTATACACAAATGAAAAAAGAAAATGGTATAAAACAAAAATTATAATAGTAACAAACAAATTACTTAAAACAAAATTATAACACATTAATTGACGACCTTAGGTGTTTCCAGTTTTAATATTCCCTTACATTCTCAACAAAAATGCATTTACCGGTCAGTTTTCTCCCAAAAGTTGGGATCAAATTAATGGATTTTCCTTTCACCTCTTCATTTTCCCCCGTCATAAACTTTCTTATCAATAATAACAAAACAAAAAATAATTTATTTTCCATATCCAATGAATTTTTAGCTATCTCATTGATTAAAATTGTTGAATTTTTAAATGTTTGTATGTAATCTATAATATCATCATTATACATTAGAAGCACTGGGTCAATGCTCACCTACCCTTGCTCTTTACACATCTTCCCTCATGAACACGACAAATTTCAGAAATGTGCATTGGGACCAGCCGAAAAATCTGGAATTCGGCCAACATATATAGGAATCAAGAACCACCGATTGTATAATTATAATGACAATGATCTGGTTTTGATCTTATTGTCAAGTTGTCTTCGAATAAACTGGCTTATGGTGATGAATTCTCAAGTGAAGTGAAGAAATTTATATATATTTTTTCAATTTTAATCTATTGAAATGTTTTTTTTTAAATAAAATTATGATTGACAGAAATTTTAAATATAATTTATCATCAATATCAGAATTAACTCTAATGATATTATTATGGATCGATAATGTCATTCCTTAATCAAAACACTTATATATATATATATATATATATATATATATATATATATATATATATATATATATATATATATATATATATATTTGTAAAGGTTTTATGTGAATTTATATAATTATTCAATCTTATTTTAGGGTTAGTTTTTACTATTTACTAAGCAAACTTATTTTACATCCAGTATAACAAACTCACATATAAAGGGTTCAAATTCAATACTTATATGAGTTACATGTTGATGCTCGTTGAGTTGGGACAATTTGATTCTTGGACCCAAACAATGATATTCTCATTACAAATTTTTCTTACATAAAAGTGAAGTCAAATTGTTATTGTTTGATGATTTTTGATTTATTTATGCTCGATGTCAACCCAAAAGCTAGAATCAAATATCTTGGACATTCAGTCCAAAGAGGCAAAAAAGGTCGATGTATGAGTTCCAAGAATTTAAAAGTTAGGATGGATACAAATTGGGATCGAGAAAAGACATGGTTTTTGAATTAAAAATGGACAAAAGGAAATTAATTAAACTTCTACCAATCATCATTAACACGTTACTTTTCTGTTGGATCCTAGAATGATCGAATATACTGTCCTTTATCCTTGGAATACTAGTTAGTTAATCTATGCCTCCTTCTCTTGGTGTGTTTATGTCTTTAGCTTTTAAATTGAATGAGATTATGTATTTGAAAAACTAGATATAATTAATATGCTCGAGGCAATTAAAACTGAATTTTTTTTTTTACTTTGATGAAATTTTAACTATGCATGAACTTCCAATGTTTATTGAAAAGTAAAAAAAAAAAAAAAAAAAAAAAAGAACTTAATGAGTTACATCTAATGTCTATCTTATTTTTAAAGAAAACAATAAGGCATCTCCTTCTAATAAAATAGTTAAACTATTTTTAAATTGAAATAATTCCTCACCTGTTGAATAATATATTGATCCAAAAGTGTATATATAAAAGAGTTATCAATCTAATTTAATATATTGTCAGTTTTAATTATAAGTATTTTTGTTATAATTCTGAGTTAAAAAAGCTTTAACAAGTTAAGAAAAATATTTATAAATAATTAGTAAGATTGACTCCATTTTCAAGTTATTAATTGATAAAATTGACATCTTTAATGAATAAATTTATTTATCTAATTCTCTTAATTCAAATTTCTTATTATTATTAGAATATTTTTATCGGGGAGTTTTAAATTTTTAATCGGAGATACTTAAAAATAAATATAAATATTTTATTATAAATCTCGTTTATAAGTTGTTTATAAGTTAATTAAAATTTAATCAGAATTATTTATATAAGTAATTTTTTAAAAAATTTAAATAATTTTTTCTAATTTTAAATAATTTTTCTAATTTTAAATAAATTTAGGATAAAATTCATAATAAAATATTTATTTTTATTTTTAAGTTATTCTTGTTATCAATTATTGAAAATGCTCTAGAGTAAGTAACTCTTTAAAAGAGAAAGTCAAGTTTATTTGTCGTTTGATCAACTTTCGAATACTTTCCTAAGCAATTTGGCGGTGTGGCCCAAAACAATAGTCCAAAAGTATCAATTTAACATAGCACTTTTAGATTATTCCTAAAATATTCGAAGGTTTTTCCCAAGAAAATAACAAGGGTAAATTAGTCATTCTATAAATACATCCTATAATTGCTTTGGCTCCATCGTACAAGTCCACATCGTTATCTCCATAATAACGTTATTGCTTAACTGAATGTAAATTTAAATGTAATTTAAAAAAATTATTCTGACAGAATTTGACACTTCACACGTGCAGCATTAAATGCAAGGTCCAGGACCAGATTCTCATCGTCCAATCCAACACATCATAAAGTAATCAATATCCACCGTCCGATTTTAACTTTAATTTTTCAAATATTTAATGTATTAAATTATTTGTTATTTTTCCTTAAAAAAATTATAACTACTCTCAATTTAAAATATTGAAAAATACCATTTTTCAAATCACTTTCTAAAGAAAAATCAAGTTAAATATTTTCTTCAAAGAATTAAACAGCTTAGTTATAATTAAATTAAAATGAAACACAGTTTTAAATTATTTTATCTAAAAATTAATAGTGTCCTCTAAAACCATAATAAAGTGGTAATACTTCGACATTTATATGGCCCTATAAATATGTGAGTATCCATAAGCCACATTCCCATGCACAAAACATAGCAAGCCCTTCTCCAAATTAAGCCACAACATGAAGTACATACCGAGCTCCATTGAAATTTCAGAAATGGAAGCAGAGAGGAATGAGAAGGAGGAAATGCAGAACAAGGCAACAGTGGAAGCACTCTACAAGGCCCTGCTGGGGCAAGGCCAAATGGACACAGTGGCAAACATGCTAGCAAGTGACCTTGAATGGTGGTTCCATGGTCCTCCACAGTGCCAACATATGATGAGGGTGCTCACGGGGGAAACTGCCCTCAGCAGCGGCTTCCGGTTCGAACCGAGGAGCGTCGCCGCCATCGGGGACTGTGTGATCGCCGAAGGGTGGGAGGGAAAGGCCTACTGGGTGCATGTTTGGACTGTGAACAATGGCCTCATCACACAGTTCAGAGAGTACTTCAACACATGGCTTGTGGTCAGGGACTTGAGGTCACAAACGTGGAAAAATAGGCTTGAGAACATGACATTGTGGCAAAGTCAGCCCCGTGATCTTTATCGCCGATCCCTGCCGGGACTGGTCTTAGCCATTTAGCTATGAGGGAAATGCTAGCAGCATACTTATAACATGGAAAGTTTATTGTATAAGCTTAGACCATCACATGCTCGTAACTAGATCAATCTCTTCGTGATACATAATCGAGTTTTGTTATTAACTTTGTCATGTTGATGTTGTTCATAAGTATGAACATGTGATAGTGAAAAACTATACAATAAAATTTTCAGAAGATGAAATTTATGTTTGGTTTGTTAGTTTTATTTAATTAGTTGAGTTACTATTTAGCGAAACCTTCATGAATTTGATCAATAACGGAAAGTTGTTGAAAAAGAGTATGTTGCGGTCTTGGTTAAAGTTCAAGGATGTGAACTTGTGAGATAGCCTGGGGTATAATCTCTGTAGGGTTGTGGACTTGTGGTCAACTCGACCACATTGTGTTTTTTGTACATATTTGTTCTGATTATCTGTTCAATAAAATGACAGTCAATTTAACACTAAGTATATGAGCATGCATATATGATAGCTTCCTATTAGTGGAATTACTTTGGAACTTGAAAGACCATAAATAGGACATCAACAAAAAGATAAGCAATACATGGGATGTAGATATCTTACTTCTATTGGAGTTACTTTGGAACTTGGAAGACGAACTCAAAATGCAAATTACCAAAAAAAGGAACAGGACTTTTAATTGCTAATACGGTTAGCAAACTGAGATTTAGAAAGGTCTTTTGGGGGATCAAAGTTCAGAGTGGGAAAGCATTTTATAATGAATTTGGTAATTTTATGATCTTGAAAATGGTAATTCTAAAATGTATATAGAACCCTGAAAATAATTCTAAATTGTTTTGTATCTAAACCACTTGTGCAACTCCGCAACTCCCAAGTTGCATGTACTTATCTTATTACGCGGTATGCTTCAACTTTCTTGTTTTGGATAATGATTCATTTGCTAGCCAAGCTGTGATAATCTACCTGTTTGGACTTTGAAGTTAGTTTGGAAAATGTTAACAAGAGAACAGAGGCTTTTGACAAAATGGCATAATTGACATTGAAAGTGGAATTATTAGATTCATTCAACTAGGTGCCTAATAGGGACCATCTCTAACAATTTGCATGTGTTTACCCCACACTTAAAACATTATCAGTTGCTGCTGTTCAAGTAATTTGCATTCACTTACAGGTGATATTATCCTCATTTGTACAACGTTTAAGATGGTAACTTCTAAAATTCTTTTTAACAATATCTTCGGAAAATTATCAAACTCAAGGTAACATCATATACCAATTGATATGAAAAAGGATGTTCAAATATTACAAAATGTAAAATTCTATTTCGAAATGACTGCTAAAAGCCTTTTATAAAAGAGGCTTTTCCACTTTATGTTCTTTCTTTTGATGTCACTATCATCAACTTGAATTGTTAGGGCCATAGGCGCTTCCATGACATTTTGGTTTCTTTCTCTTGAAAACTCAATTTCTCAGAGACTAGAATAAAGTGGACATTTGATGTAACTTGAGGAGCTTTATCTTGAGGTGGAAATGAGTTCAGTGCAGGCTGAACACAGTTTTTAGTCTGTTTTTGGCAGAAAAAATTGTCAGCAACTATGTCATGGAATTCTGTAGTTCTTAGTTCCTGTACAAGGGAACACCAGCACAGCAACACTATAGCCACTGTATGCAATCTGTCACTGCTCGCTTCCCACAACAAATTTTATTTGGTGGCAAATTAAATATTTCCCCCATTTGAATCCTCCAATAGCTACCATAGAGTAAACCAAACACACAAAGAAATATACCTGTCAACCCCCAAAACTATTCTTACTGGCTCATCATCAATTCTGATAGTAGCCATGCTGAATATTCAAGAGGGAGGTACACAGAAGAGGAGGAAAGTTGCAATGTGGACATAAATGTTAAAAAAATGAAGTCTCTTCGCATTCCTTTAGAACGCACAAAAACTACACGTGAGTGAGACATGCCACAGATAGATTGTCCCAAATATCAAATAGTCCCCCTCTCCATTGCGGTGTGTTCTCAGTACGACTGATCATTTCTTGATCCAAATGTATTACTAATGGGAATTTGGTTCTGTGCTTCTTCATCAATTTCATATTCCTTGCCTAGAGGGATGGAAATGCAGTACACTCCTGCAAGCGCTAGAGCAGCAATTGCAATGGAGATGCATATACCAACCCCAAAAACAGGCCTTTCGAATCACAAAGGGCATATTGAGCAAAGCAATTAACATGGGGTAACACAACTACCACCATCATATTATCCACTCATGAGGTTTGCAAGTGCCATTCTTACAGTATGTTTTTCTTAGGATTTTGACGTCCTTTAGCTTCCACCTACAAAGAAGTACAAGATGGTGTAACCGCTTTGAATGTTGGTAGACACGAGATTAAATAGAGCATTGATAAATTCATTGTTGACCTCAAACCATGAGTTCCTTTGTGACTGCTTAGTAAGGATTTTGTTCAACACTCCTGTCATGACGAGAAAAATAATTGCTACTGAAACAGCAACACAAATTATCCATAAAAGAAGGGTCATGTTAAAAGGATTCTTAATCCATTGTTTGCAGCTTCTCCCGAGAGATGGCCAATCAATCTTCTTGGAATAAAAACAATGAAAAGGTTTTCTCAACTTTTCCCTAACGGATGAAGGCACAAAATGTGACAATTCATATATTCCCACAGTCTTCTGCCTATGTTTAGTAGATGGAGAAGCTAAATTAGCAAAGGGTGTGAGTCTCTGCAGTTTAAAGATATTGGCAATAGATGTCAACATTCTGTGTTTCCTTACATGATGGTTTTCATCCCTCAGAAGTCTCCTTTGGGACGATGAAAATTGAAGAGCACTGTTTACATTTACCTGGAAAATCATTTGTTTTGTCAACTGGTGCTGCATCTTGCAAGCTTCCTCGAATAGTAGCTTGAGTCATTCAACCAGCCAATATGATTATGAAATATTTTTATTTGAAGGTCCAACAATGACTTGTTTATCTTCACAGATGAATTCCATATGGTCGAACAGTGATGAATACTACTTTCTAATTACTGATTAAAGGACGAAAACTTTTAAAAGCTGATTCAAATAGTTATTGAGAATGGAATCTTAAATGTTTACAAATAATAGAAATTAACATCTTAAACTACTCAGATTCTTACGCTGTCCAAGTCTGAAATAAAGAACGAAGTACAATCAAATGACAGGTAACAATGATAATTTGGTGTCCTGAACTTTCAATTTTAGTTTTGCTAAACGGGGGTTCTGTATCTCTTACTAACACAACAACCTAAACCGTTTGTTAGCCAAAAGGACACAGATTTTTTTAAAAATCAGCTAACGATGATATTACTTAAAGTCGTACAAATACAAAAGAATTATAAAAAAGCTGAAGAAACACGAACATTCTTCTCTTTATTTAAACCGTGAATGCGAATGATAGGGATGAAATGCAGAGAAACTATACCATGCACAAAAACATAGTAAATAACAGATCAAAATCAATATGGTCTGGAAATTGGAAATCAATAGAATTTGCATCTTATAACTAATAAAAATACTGCAAGGTATCAACAAATAGACCACAATGGTTGCCACAGCAAGTTGCATATTTCCTTGCTAGAACTATTCCAGTAAAGCAACAAGATCATAAATAACCATTTATCATTCAAGGACATAACATTTTATTCAATAAGGGGGCTTACTAGTTACTGCTAATTCAATAGAGGGCTTTATAACTCCCAACTTTCAAAAAATTGAGAAGCCCAGAATTTTCATTCAACTATATTTAGTTCTTTAAAATGCCTTTTCAAAAATGAGAGCCCAGTTTTATTTGTCTCGTTTGAGTTTAGGCATCAAGGAAGAAACTTTCAAAAGAAGCCCCGTATTTATTTAAATGTTGTAAATGTCTGAGCATACAGAGTTCTAAAACCAAGCCAACTATACAACATAAAATATGCAGTAAAGTAGGTCAGTCGAATACCAAACAGAGCTCTCTAATGCTCAGAATAACTTCTTCAAGAGGAATTGTTTTTCCTTCATCAAACAGTGGGCCCTTTCTGCGCAAGGGTAGAATCACTGCAAACATTAATAATTGGAATGAAAATTTTAATCTTGAGATTGTTGATCTCAAGCCTAACTAAATTTTTTTTAAAAATGATCCATTTTTACGACAGGGAAGGTTTTCTGCAAGTCATAAGATGAATTAAAATCATGAAAAGTGTGAAGATTCTACTTCTGTCGATATTTTAAGGTTCTAAAAACATTTTCCAAGCAAGAACTAGCAACAAACTTGAATGTGAGTTTCGACACTTGGTTTGAAGTAACTGGACAGTGTTTATATGAATATAAGACTAAGAAGCTTGTCATTCATGATTCATTGTAAAAAAATGGCAACTATAGTTAAAAATGAGAAAAAGAAAGCATTTTAGAGTGGCCACGTTAAATGTGAGGCTGGAAAAGGGAGTGTTACCTATAGGTCCAATTCAAGTGCTAGTGCCAACAATGGTGTGGAAATGTTACCAATCTAATCCAGAAAGGAAGCTAAACAAAGTGAGGAATATGATGAACGTCATAAAGACTGCTATGGCCTAAGAATTTCAAGTTGCAGATATGTGAGCTCAAATTTTGACTTTATTGGCACTTGCTGTTGCATAAGCGGGAATGTGTTTCAAACACTTTCAAAACAGGGATCCTCTTTTCACGTGGCATCTTCTACTGTGTTTCAATTTATGTTTAGTTCATATGTGTTAGAACATAATATTTCACCATGTAATGTTACAACGTAATATTTGTAAAAGAAATGAATCGAATAACTTAATCATTAGTATAATGAAGCAATTTTATTTATTTATTTTCTTATGTCAAAAAAATTATATTAACGATAGGTTATGTATATAGAATTTTTTTAATCCGCTAAAAACGTGATAAAATAATCAAGTCTTGTTATAAAAGAGTAAGATATTAAATGTAATGATTGACTTTAAAATAGTTAACTTAAACTTTAATTGAAACAATATTTAAGTTGATGAAACCTTTATTTAAAAAGAATGGAAAAAAGATAATTAAATATAATACACACATAATAGATGATTGATAAATAAAGTAATGAAAATTTTATATGAAGTTTCATTTTTTTGATTAATAAGTCAAAGAAAAGTAATAAGATCATTAAATGATATTCTATCTATTTCTTAATATGTGTGATTTGACTATCCAAGAAAAATATTAACTTTTGTTATTTTTTGATATTTTAATTTTTTATATAAAAAATTATTCATAATAATATTATCATTTTTTTCAATAATAATATTAAGCTTTACATATGCAAAAAAAAAACAATTTTTTTGAAGAAAGTCTATGTGGAATTGCATAGTGATTTATTTATATGGTGAAGGTCCAGGTAGGTTAGAGTGATGAGCAGTCGTAGATCTTCTTGGGAGTTGAGGGGTCGTGGCTCCCCAAAGTTTTCTAACTCCCATCTAATTTATGATTTTGGTCTCCCAAACATAATGAATATTTAATATATTTATTTGTATATTTACAATTTTATCCTCTCGAGTCCCTCTTCGGTTTTGTAACTCTCATATAATTTATGATTTTGTTCCTCTCAAACTTAATGATAATTTAATATATTTAAGTATATATCTACAATTTTATCTTTTCACTCTTTCATCTTCTTTCTTCCTTTTATATTTATTTATTATTTATTAATAATATATTATTTGGCCCCTCCAAGATCAATGGTCAAGATCCGCCACTGGTAATGAGATTGTAATCCACCCGAATGATCAACCATAACCTGGATCAAGGTGCAACCCCACTTAAGCTGGACCGAGAATGTTGGTAGGATGCAACACATTTTGGACCTAGTAGCTACTTAGGCTCGAATTGGACCTTGCAATATACGACTAGGTTTTTAAATATGCAATATCTTCCTACGTCTCTCAATAATTTCTTCCTCCATCCTATAATGAAGATAATTCCTATTTTACCCTTCATCAAAATATGTTCCTATTTCATTTATGGATTGGGTATTTTATAATGCATTTTTGAAACTGTCAATCCGGAAACATGCTTCAATATATATAATTCGAAATGTAGTTTGGAACAGTCAATCCAAAAATATATTATAGAACACTCAATCTAAAATACATTTATGAAATAGTCAATCCAGAAATACATTCTAGAACACTTATTCCATAACACTCAATCCAGAATGCATTTCTAGATTGACTATTTCAGAAATCCATTCTGAATTGATTTTTTCAGAACTTACTTTCAGGTTCGAAAATATATTTCAGATTGAGCAATTTAGATTTCAATACTCATTTTCAGTCCAATTTTCATGTAATAGATGCAAAACACTATCAATTTCTCACCTTATTGGCTAAAAACAATCTTCAATGGAAGTAGAACCACGAAAAAACGAAATTTGTAGGGACTATGAAGGTTCAAGAAAAAATATGGAGGTGTAGAGGAACAGAAGAAAATAAGCTCTTAGGTTTCAAACAAAAATTAATAAAAAAATATTTCGATCATTTTATATGAATTATTAGGGTGCATGAAGAAACCATAGGGGTGCAGGAAGAAACTGCTAATAAATCTGGAACCTATTAACATCCAACACTCTTTTGAATATTATTCGAGTGTTATTAGTGTGCAGTATATCATATTATCTGTTCAAAGACTAATTAAATGACTTAACAAAATAATAAAGATGTAAATTATTACAAATGACAAAGGAAAAAGTAATTTTTAATATTATTAAAATTTGATTCGTAATATAATTTTAAATTATATTCGATAGAGGACAATTTATACAATATCATATGCTTTCAAAATCTATATTTGATTAATAATAAAATTAGTAACAATAAAAAATATAAGAAATAACATATTGATATCAAAATAATATTTTTACTTAAGATGAAAAATCAAACATGTTATAAGAATTATTTTAAAGATTTTCAAAGATTTATTTGTAGATTAAATTATCATGAATGTATGTATTCTTTTTTTATCCATAATTAGAATTTTAAATCCCTTCTTTATTGTTAGTCTAAATATAGAGCCACATGTAATAGACCATGTGTAAACACAAGACATGAAAGATAAAGTTTTACTTCAAGTAATGATTGTCTTTGACTTTTAGTTTATTGTCCTTGTAAAACATTATGACAAATTATTTTTCACTCATTGACTTGAATCTTGTTCCATTATAAAATCCACATGTGATCAATGTTTCTAAAAAGCATAATAAGGACAACAACTTTCAATCTAAGACAATGATTTAGAATTCCTAAACACTTAAAGTCATTTAGAAACTCTAATTAGACCATTTACCTTGAATTTATTGGTTTACATTATTGTGTGAATGCGATGAATTGATAGTTTCTTATTAAAATTCTAAGAGTTTATAAGCTTACAATACTAGAGGTGTTGAAATGGGAATAGAAGTTGAGGATGGAGTAGTCTTCGATCTTGGTTTTTTTTTTTTAATAAAGAAAAGGTATTGTCAATATTAGTCGATAATCTAATCTACTGTGGAAGAAAGGAGTAAAAGTATAAATGCAACAACATTTGGAGGAGTTAATCATACGGGGGAGGAATAAGACCATGGATCTTCCTCTTCTTTTGGACTTTGGGGGATGAAGGTGTAGCTGGTGTTGTATCAAGTTCAAAAGTTCTTTCTATAGGATCAAGAATTTTTATTATGAAAGAGACTGAAAATAAGAGATATCACAAATATGAATAAAGAAAGCAAGGTAATATAAAAAAGAGATTTCTTATCTGAAGTAAACGTAATCTCACCAAAAGGAGTATTGGTCAAGATAGACACATGGTGAATATGATTTAGGCAATATGGAAGGACAAGTTTGTATAAATTAAGGTATGGTACA